AGGAATATTATGAACTTCCTGCAGGTGCAGAGTTAAGGTTTTCTTCGGTCCAACTTTAGGAATATTATGAACTTCCTGCAGGTGCATAGTTAAGCTTTTCTACGGCGGCATCATGACGGCTGCAGGCGTCGCGGCTCTGTCAGCCGTCGCGGCCTCAGCGGAGCTGTACATCCGCCTCGAGGCTCCGCTGGACCTCAGCGCCCTGCGTGGCAAATATTTTCACCTCGGTCAGTATTACCAGGGGGAATATCAGTGTCGTTGTTTGGAGTATCATTGATACTTGTGGGAGGTTCGTTGGGTTTGGAATTTCACATAGTGAAATTTATTCCTATTTCGTAATCATTTTTAGACAATATTGTTCTCTTTTTTTCATTTACAATTACCAAATTCTGTCAATTATAGTTGGTTTTTAATAATTTTGATAATAGCTAAATTATTAATAACTTAATGGTTTTTATTCATTTTCATATATTTATAATATTTTGGTGTTGGCGTCCGTGATAGCCTGATCAGCTACTGCTGCGCGAAAGATGATGACGCGTGCTGCTCTAGTGACAAGCGTTCTGCTCTAGCAACACTCGTGCTTTTCTAGCAACACTCATGCTGCTCTAGCAATACTCGTGCTGCTCTAGCAACACCCATGCTATTCTAGCAACACTCATGCTGCTCTAGCAATACTCGCTAGCAACACTCGTGCTGCTCTAGCAATACTCGTGCTGCTCTAGCAACACTCGTGCTGCTCTAGCAACACTCGTGCTTTTCTAGCAACACTCGTGCTGCTCTAGCAATACTCGTGCTGCTCTAGCAACACTCGTGCTGCTCTAGCAACACCTGTGCTGCTCTAGCAACACCCGTGCTGCTCTAGCAACACCCGTGCTGCTCTAGCAACACTCGTGCTGCTAGAAGCGCATAGAACCTGTTGCTGTGATTGCTGTGTTGCAATGTTTAAATTATAAGCAATTTGTGCGAGGTCCACGAGGACGTTGGTTAGGAGTTCAGGGATCGTGGGGAGTTGCTAAGGAGTGTAGGAGGACGAAGTGACTTGCTGAGGACTGCAGGAGGACGAGGAGATTTACTGAGGAGTGCAGGAGGACAAGGTGACTTACTGGGGGCTGCAGGAGGACGAGGAGATTTACTGAGAGGACGAAGTGACTTGCTGAGGACTGCAGGAGGACGAGGAGATTTACTGAGGACTGCAGGAGGACGAGGAGATTTACTGAGGAGTGCAGGAGGACAAGGTGACTTACTGGGGGCTGCAGGAGGACGAGGAGATTTACTGAGGAGTACAGGTGGACGAAGTGACTTGCTGAGGACTGCAGGAGAACGAGGAGATTTACAGAGGAGTGCAGGAGGACGAAGTGACTTGCTGGGGACTGCAGGAGGACGAGGAGATTTACTGAGGAGTGCAAGAGGACGAGGAGATTCACTGAGGAGTGCAGGAGGACGAGGTGACTTAGCGAGGACTCTATTAGGGTGAGAATACTTGCTATCTCCTGCAGGAGGAGGTGTATGTTTGCTCAGGAGTGCAAAAGGGCGTGTAAGTTTGTTATGGAATGCACTAGACCGTGCAGGCATGCTAAGGAGTGCACTAGGGCTTGTAGGTTTATTAAGGAGTGCACAAGGGTGCGCAGGCTTGCTAAGGGGTGCACAAGGGCGAGCAGGCTTGCTAAGCAGTGCACAAGGGCGTGCAGGCTTGCTAAGCAGTGCACAAGGGCGTGCAGGCTTGCTAAGCAGTACACAAGGGCGTGTAGGCTTGCTAAGCAGTGCACAAGGGCGTGCAGGCTTGCTAAGCAGTGCACAAGGGCGTGCATATAACCTGCTGAAGGCTCAATGATGTTTGGAAACTGTGTCTGCAGACAGCGTCACTTCATTTACCATCCCTCAGTGTCATCAAAATCCCATGAAAAAAAGTTGAGATTGACCAGTAAACTTCATTTAATTTCTCCCCACAGGCGTTGTTACGCTAGTGACTGACACTGCCGTGTTAGCAGTGCCACTACCAGACACGCCTCCTCCCCGGCTAGTGGTGATGGGATCAAGGACGGCGGGGAGCTGGGAGGCTGTGGCCCAGACGGTGCAGGCTTATGCACCCAGCAGTAAGAGGTCAGTTGTGTAGTTGCCTTATGTGCGCTTAGTGTTATCAGTCCATCCAACTTTCAATACAAAATGATATTCTCTTCACATAAGCACCGCAAACTACATTGATTATTGTTGCTGATATTTTAGTTCCGTGGCAGGTTGATTGTAGACGAAAGGTCGTCGTCTGTTGGCTGGTGACCCATTGTCATTATTGTGAAACAATTTGCAGCCGCACAATAAACAGAATATTACGCAATAAGTATACAGTAATAATACTAGCAGAAGGTAACGGTGGGCCATATTTGTTAAGAAAGGAACGTGAGGCCTCATAACTAACAATATTGTTCGCCCGACATTGATGATACGACATGTTATATGGTCTATGCAGTTACGAATAAATAGACTCGTACCATTTAAATATAATTTATTCAGTTCAATTAACAAGTATTGACCGCGGCCATCATGATTGTCCGCTAAACGCAGCAACAATATCATGTTGACGTCACAGCATTTCCTCCTTGTCGCGCCCTGGGGGCACATAAGCCGCAGAGTTGCCGGAGGGGCGGCGGAGTGACTCCTTATTTCCCCACGCGGGGATATAGGGAAACTTTATTAAGAGAAATGAGAGGGTTCAAATAGCCCTTATATGGTCCAATTATTCCTTCCAGCAGTCAGTAGAATTAATTTATTAACTTATTTTTAATGGTATTTTATTGTATCGCAGGTACGACGCCATTTGTCTGAGTAGGCGACTAGAGCTGAGCGCGGAGGAGGAGCGACGGCTGCTGGCGCTGCTGCACCAGCAGCGGATAAGGACCAGCGACGCGGGCGCCACGCGCAGCGGCATAGACGAGTGAGGATGTTTGGGGTTGGAAGGGGCTGTGGAGAGGGATGTGTGGGGTTAGGAGGGTTGTAAAGAAGGATGAGGTCGGGTTAGGAGGGCTGTAGTGGGGATGGTATGGAGCTAGGAGCGCTGTAGTGGGGGATGATGCGGGTTAAAGACGGCTGTAATGGGGATGGTGTGAGGTTAGGAGGGCTGTAATGGGGGATGGTGTGAGGTTAGGAGGGCTGTAGTGGGAATGGTGTGGGGTTAGGAGGGCTGTAATGGGGGATGGTGTGAGGTTAGGACGGCTGTAGTGAGAGATGGTGGGGGTAGGAAGGCTTCAGTAAATTATGCAACAGGATGGACGTTGAATTTGAAGCCGAAAATCGTAAGGTATTGAAAGCGTACGTCGCTTCCTCATCCCTGATGTGTGGTTGCGTAAGGCTACTTTAGAGACGATGTGCAGTGAGTTAATTTACATTCACTATATTCACGGCGCGCGAGTCGTCGCAGTGACGTCCATTTCTTATCTACAGTAATGGCTGGCGCCGTCTTCGGATTTGCGACGACCTGTGACTTCCTGTCTGTGACGTGGACCCAGCGAACGAGAAGTGGCGCCGGTTCTGGAGTTCTTGCATTGGCACCACTTCATGGAGTGGTGGCATGGAGTTCGTCCAACTCATAAAGTATTCCAGGCGCGGACTGACAATCATAGGCTGCTATATTCGTGGGTTGTTTGTGCATGCCAGCTGTCCTGTTACGTTGAAAGCAGTTAGTCATCATAATGTAGCTGAACTTTTCGCTTGAGGGATCCATACTTTTCACGTCTGTGACCATGTTTGATAAAATCCCACTTCAGGTGCTGCATTCCCTAGTTGTCTTGACTATTTATGATTGTTTTGATGTCTAAATTAGTTAAGAGTTCCACGTTTGTTCACCAGGCTGGAAGGCCTCGTGATCTTTATTGCTCGCCTGCCAAGCCATGCCAACGGCTAAGCATGGCACGCCCGTATCCATTGAACGTGTCCATGTTTGCCGCGCGCAGGCGGCCTCGTTATTGATTGCATCGTCACTGCAATGATATATCAATATTATTTATCAACAGTGCAGAAATGCATCAGTGCAGTGATGAACCAGCGGGGAGTGCGTGAGTGCTCGCTATTGCCTTCAAGAATTATTCACTAATATTGTTTGTAACCTATTGATTATTGTTATGATTAATTTATTCTTTTTTCGATCTACTTCATTGCTCATATTTTGTTTCATGAATAAATGATTCGAGTTGCCAAGTCGCAGTTTTATTATTGTACCTTCCTTTCAAGAACAAATGAGTTGAGTGGCCAAGTCGTATTTCCCTGCTGTGCAGGGAAATACGAACATTTTTATTAACAGAAACAAATTGGTTAACTAAGTATCAGCTAGTAAATTCAATAGCTTGGAATTAGGTCATTCATATATGAGAGGAAGTAGGAAGGACATGTTCTCTCCTGCGGGAACCTCGTGACGCCGCACTTCAAGAGCCCCTCCATCCTACGCTCGAAGTCCCTGCCATGAAGTAGACTTCAATGCCGCGCAGATCTCACGGCACCGCAGCTCTGCAGGTCTGCAACTACATCAAATGTAGTTTCGCTTGTGATAGCTTCATCACAAGCAGTATATAACGTACGGGCATAAAGTCTTATGTATCAACGTTAGCAAAGTTAAAAAGCAGATAATATGGTGTCGTTAATGTTTTGTAAGAAAACTTAGGTCGCATAAGATCATGTACCCTTCTGTTCTAACGATATGGACCAAATGTTTGCTCGTTATTATTCAGTTTCTTATGATATTAATTAGCTTCTTGCCTCGTATGTGGTCAACACATATATGAAATTTTTTCAACATCAACATTTCTAGTGAAGGCCATTATAACAAGAGTTCTTAATTTTTTCCCTGAATTTTTTCCTTGAAACGGAGCCTCTGAAATCTTCTCCAAAACGTGAGCCTTCCTCTGCTGCTCGAAAAGTTTCAGGTTTGTACAATATTTCGAGATTGAAAAAATTATATATTCGATTTGAAAATGCTTGCAAAACTAAATTAGATAAAAACGGAAATTTAAAATAATGTTAAACATAGCGAGTAAGCATATAACGCGCATAAGATCCGGAGTTACTTAAATCGGATGTTTGTGGAATTCATATTGCGACATCAAAATTCGATTAAATGGCATTAAAATGACAAAATTAAATGGTGCAAGGACCACGAAAACCCCTATAGTTACTATACGGTTTTGGGCATGAATGAGGTATCTGGTGCTGCTTTTTATTAGTTCTGAATGACTATAGAGCAAGTTAGAGGACTTATTAGTATATACAATACTATAAAGGGTGAGTTTTTTCTGTATGCAAAATTAAAGTGTTTCTTTAAAGGTCCTCACTTTAAAATCTAGCCTATAATATCAACTATCATCTTGGAAAATTTTCAAAAATATAGACACAATTACATGGCTAAAACTTGAATATATTATTCATTGGACCTACACCGAGCGCCAGGTACGCCGCGAACGAACGTCTGTGGCTGTAGTGCAAGAAAGGCATCCTGCACGATGCCACTCTGCGGCGTCTATAGCTTAAAAATATCTCATTATTGAAAGCATTAAACTATACTGGAAACAATTTATTAATTGACAATTGATTTGCACACGATATTTCATTGCGCACGAAGCTCATCGTAGAAAAAATTGGTACGTTTGGGCACATTCAGAAAAATAACAAGAATGTGAAAGAAAATAAGACCGACAGGCGACTGACAGATGGTTTGTTATCCTTCGTTCATTGGTTATTTAAGTAACTTTAAGGTCAGCAAAAGTCCAGGCTTATATGGGGCTGAAACAGTAAAGTATTAAATTTAAAAATTATCCACAGTCTTCAGTTAAATTCCATAAAGCACCGTGAAGAACACCAGTTTGATCTTGACTACGACGTATCGAATTAATTTTCAACGATAGAGCAATGTTTCTCTATTCGTAGTTTTAGATTTTTAGATCAGAAACGGCTTATATATAGATTATACTATTTATAAGAATAATCAAGAGACACAAAGTTTATAGCTAGTCTTATCTTTGATAGTAAAAGCTTCGGCAAGCTTCATTGAAGTCGTTATCTGAGCTGCTGTCTACAGTTTTTATACATAAAAACTTCAATTATTATATCAGATGATTTAAGCCAAAAGGAAATACAAATTCAATTCGATTTATTTCAGTAATAATTATTAAAGATATATAGAGGCTTCTTCTGAGAGTACGAAATGGATGGATATTTATACCGTGATGATCCCATTGGAAACAGAGTCTGCACTGTCAATACTAATACATCATTGTTTAAATGAATGAATTAATTATAATAATTAAAAAAATCTCCGAATTTGGAACAACGCGATATAGAAAAATAGCTCCATTATACTAAATAGTTTAATATTATTGTAGTGGGTATATAATGGTAGCCCTTACGTTCAATGATCAGAAAAACCATTCGTCATATTAAGAAGCTACATTTCACGACAATCACGTTGACACTTTTCCATACATAAGAAACGTAATAGAGGTTGACTTTAATGGAACTTGATGAACGGACAACGATCAAACTACCGTTTACAGAGATATGTTTCACTTCCGATTAATGGGATACAAACGTTC